AAAACAGAAACAGAATTTTACACTTCTGTGTATAAAGCAAGAGAGGCGAGCGAGAATGGAGAGTGGCGAGCGAGATTTTTGGGAAAGAGACGCTGACAAATTTTAGCTAATGTTTGCTATGGAGCACAATTAAATCAAACCCTAGCTATTTCATTTAATTTAGGTTATTAGTTTGTTATTATATACAATTTTCCTTTTTATTTTTCTTACATAAATGATACGTCTCCCCTAATATAGACTCAAGTTTGGGCCCATGTTTTTAATAACACAACCCCACCAAACAAGAAATGTCAAAAGAAGAATATCAAACTTTATGTTTTAGAATAATTTTATGATTTTGATTTATCTCTTAAATAAAATTATTTCCAAACACACCATACCGCGTAAATTAAAATGGAAGAAGTAATATTATAAAGAATTTCTTTTAATTTATTTGATGATACACACGATAAAAATAAATTCAAGTCACTCTAAATATCGATGATATTTATATATAATAGGACAGACAAGAAAGCTTGAAAATTTGGAAGATCTCACATGTGGCAAAGTATAGCATGTCTACTTATCTATTTGCTTAATTATTCAAACTCCAACGAAATAATGATTCTTGAAAATCAGTTATAGTAGATTCAATGAATATGAATTCAAATTTTTGTGATACATGTTTGATTTTAGATCCTCACAATCATATCGTACTATAATATTTTAGTTGGTTAATTATTCTATTTTTAATTAAATCTATTTCATTTCATTGAGAAGTATTGAAAATATATATGAGCTCAAGATAAATAGTTAGTTTTATCTCTAAATTAGTGATAATCGTAAAAACACTATTCTATTTGGCTAATTAGACTTAGATACAACATCGATCTACCATATACATAACAAATGCTCTCAAACTTTTCCACTTTGGCTATTAAACTTAGATACAACGTAGATCTGCCACATACATAACAAGTGATCCAAAACTTTTATAAAAGCACAATACTCTTAACAAAAATCGTGAAAAAAGTGTTAAAAACACCCCTAAACTTGGAGATAATTTAAGGATGTAACTCGTTCATGTTTAAATCTAGTTTGTCAAGAAAACATTTTTAAAACTGTCAATACGAAAAATGAAACTAATAATTCACATTAAATTTAAGAGTATTTTTAATACGAAACGTCTTTGACGTATACTACAAAGTAAAATCGTTGTGTAACCTTCAACAAATATATATGTTATTTCTCAAAAGCAAGAGCAGCATTAAAGTCTTTTCAAGGAAAAAAAAAAGTGATTGAAGTAAATTATATACACAGAAAAAGAAAATATACAAAATATGTTTAAAGAGGATCATAATATTTTTTTTTCTTTCTTTCTAATCTTTAGCTGCAACAACATTCTTTTGGTTCTTTAGTTTCTGTATCCCCCTTTTCTGGTGTGGTCCTTGAGAAAACATACAAAAAATAATGATTTATCAACTTTGGCGTTTTATTCAGCAATTGCACCATTCTTGTGCTTCACATTCAAACACTGGAATTATTGCACTTCCAAGCAACCACGCCGCGGCTGCTAGCACTGTTGAACAAATGCAAACACGAAATTTAGAAGCCAGAAGAACATATTGAAGGTAATAACAACTTGGTACTACAAACACATTCTTTGACATGCTATGATACTTGAATTTCTAAAACAACAGTGTACCATATATGTGTGAACTTTTTTTCATCTGTTCTACTCTTTTTGATTATGTGTTATAAACCACTGAAGTCTAGCAACATCGAACATCCTCTTCCCTTTATGTAAAAGCTGATTGTAAGCTTAAAAGAGAAGGTTACGCCACAATCACTATGAATTCCTTTTGGTAATTAACTAACTGCATGACCAGCTTAAAGACATGCAGTTAACAAAGCATAAACAGTACTTGAATTTAACTCTCGGACGACTAAAAACAAGATTTTAAGATACAAGGTCCAATGCAATTGACGAATCGTAGAGTGAACTGACAGAAGTTCCGTCTGCGACGTTTTTAACACGATATGCAATTAAAACCTTGTTATCTTTGATAATTGTGAAAAGACTTATAAATGCTAGATTGTGAATTTGAACTTCTGCAAGGAAAGAGGTAGAGCCAAACCTCAAAGATGAGTCATTCACAAGCAATTTTAGTGTCAAAGCTGCTAAGGCATATGGCGAATGCCTGGAATGCTGATAGTGGGTAGCGGTAATCCATTGTAAACATGTCCTTCCCTACTTTACCGAATTGCAAAATAACCTTCTCATGTTCTGGTCCAGCCGCACCATTCTCTGGAGAAGCTACCAACTGAAAGTTCTTCACCGAGGCGACGGTTACCCGACCATGAAAGTTCAAACACCAGCATTGGAGCTGTTCATGCCATCTGGGAGCCTTATTTTTCAGAACCAGTGAACCTTCTCTTTGAGTTTCTATAGGCCCAGACAAAGACTTCTCCAAGCGACTTGATTTGGATCGAAGAAATCGCATCGGAAGAGAGGAACCACTATTGCCCATTGGAAAATCAACCTGTGTGGGAGCTATACCTCCAGGTTTAATGGCAGAAGCTGGGATAGCATCCATCACACAATGCATTCTTCTTGGCCCCCTGCTAGTTACATAAGATGATTGATCTATCATTATCCACTGTCTAACACTTACCAATGTGTTACCATTAGTATCATTACTAGAAGAGCTTTTCTATATTTTTCGAGAAAGAGAATTCATGTGTCAAGAAAAATTTAGTTCTCCAAACTTTTGCAAGGAAAGTAAAGCCTCACCTGGCTCCAAGTACATTCAACTCATATGAAATATGAGCAACTTCATAATTTCCAGCAGGCACTCTAGAATTCATTTGTTTTGAGCCCACAAGCCTAGTGGAACGGCTCTTCACCAGCTTGGCTCCAGCATAAGGAAGAATAGAATCATATGCAGTAAACTTGGTTCCAAGGAAATTTGATCTAGCAAACAAGAAAGAGACTCTTTAAACACCATCTAAGCTTTAGCAATCACCCGATCAACAATAAGCAAGCCATACCTTAATCTCCCGATACAAGTGCCACCTCCCTTTGACGTTTCATTTGCATCCAATGATATAGTGTAGTCAGTGCAGGTGGCCTTCCTGTACTTCCGAGCAGCAAGAAGAAACTTCCCATCATCAGCTAATGCTGCCACAACAAATAGATAAATAAAAAATGTAAGATGGTTCCAAACTTGAGGATGCATTCTAGCTGAACATAACATCACGCTTCCCTCCACACAATCCCTTGTTTAATAAGATAATTTGAAGACGCGGATTCACAAACAGTAACGAATGCTCACCTTGAGTCAAACTGAGGTATAGATGATATGCCTGTGTTGTCTGGTTTCTCTTTATAAAGCACTGAAGGAGTGTGTCTCGTGGACCAGGCTGCAAAAATAGGGAATACTACTTAGAATACAGGAAACAAGATAAGTAATGAACTTCATAATTGATATGTAACCTCTTATGAGGAACTTCACAATTTTTTACTGCTTTCTTCTTTTTCACTCATGGAAGGGATAACTGACCATCTAAGTTCAAAACTTACTCAGCAATTAGACAGTATAATTCATATGTGGGGATTCGAAAACAATCTGATTTGCAGAAAACAAAATTTGGAAGAGTTGTTTGGAAAAGAAAAAAAAAGTAATTAGACATATAATCAGCAAGAAGACAGAACAGATGCCACCAAAAATATGGAAAATGAACCAAAAGAGTAAACTAGTGCCTAACATATATCATTTCATTGTTCTCCACATCTTCAATTCAAGCTCAACTTAAGCAAAAGCCAATCTTGAACTTCAATTCAATCTCAACTTAAACCGAAGCTAATCTTGAACTTCAATTCAATCTCAATTTAAGCCTAAGAAACAAGAAGTTATAAAACACAAACACTTAAATAAACAAGAAAACTCCAAATCAAAACAACACCATAAGCAGCAAATTAACTACTTGTAATATGATACCATCTCAAAATTCAAATCCTGAATGCAAATCATGAAGAAGAAAAAATAACTAACAATTAGAAGAGGGGAATTTGTTTACCTGCTTGACAGAAATTGGAAAAGTTAACTTTCCAGAAACTTCAGGAGTCTTCACCAACTCCTTCATAATCTCCCTCCAGCTCCTACACACTCCAGAACAAGCTACAACACTTCTCCTCAAAGGCCATTTAGATTCTGTATCTTCAATCCTCATAAGAACCTCTCTTAATAACTCTAAAGGCAAATTAGCCCAACAGCTCTCCACAAACACTTCATCAATCCCCTCTGTTTCCTCTGCCACAGCCACCACTGAACTCTGGCGACACCTTGACTTTGACCCATAACCCCACTTCATCTCACAACCCAAAAAAAATAGCTAAAAATTGATTTCTCAAAACAATGCTTATAAACTCAACCAAAACACTCCCACCTCACAGAAATTTCATAAACATCAAACCTACAACCAAAAATGCACCTTAAATCCAGATCTGAAATCTATAATCCCCCTAAAACACCATAAAGATTGAATCTTTAACATTCTTTCATGCCTAAACTCAACACCCAATGCATCAAAACCAAATTTTAAAACAAAAAACCATATGGGGTTTGAAAATTAATCTGAAAAGTTATCAAGAAAACAGAATAAAAAAAAGGTGGTAACCTGAAAGGTGAAAATTGAAAATATTTGAAGATGTGTAAAGAGAATATGAAAAGTGACAGAAAGAGATAGCTGTGGAAAGAGAGTACTCTTAATGGATGGATAAGTGAATCATTGAGTGAAAGGGCCCTACCCTCTATTCCTATTTTATCTAAATTATTACAACAGTATTTTGTAAGATTCTATGTAAATATTCCGTCATATTTTTAGAATATTAATATTTTTTTATTTAAAAGTTAACATATATACTTATGGCATAATTTTATCTATCGATATTTAATAAATATTAACTTAATAAATAAGATTATGACACGTATATATTGTTACTATAAAAAATGTATATGTACTCTAATTTATGGATGATAATGATACTAATATTTCAAAAGCATAACAAAAAATACTTACATATCACTTATAATAGTTTGAAATATATTTGTCATTATTTCTTATTAAAGTTATACGAAAAGTACTATAAATTTTAATTATTTACATATCAATATGATAAAAAATATATCATAAAGTATTAATTGAAATTATAATTATTTGCCTCTAAAAAGAAAATCATGACACTTAAAAGTGGAGAAAGATAATACTAATTACGTTACGTCATTCTTACTAAAAAACAATTTATTTAAATTATTAATGTATTTGTCATTTTTTTTTAAAAGTTAAATATTTAGTTAGCTTTTTGTTCTTTGTAGTAATTGTTTCTTTTAAGGTTATAAATACATTAGTTATAAAGTGATAATATATAAATAAGTAAATATTTAATTAAAAAATATTATATCCTAAAAATATGAGGATATAACCGTTAAAATTTCTTGCAATTAATTTTTTTCTTTAAAACATATGTCAAAAGAAAAATACAGTATATAATTTGTGATTAATAGATAATTACCAATTAATTTTCATTATTATCCGTACTCAGTAAGTGGATAAAAAGCATTAATGCGGCGAAAAAAGAGGCTAGTTTCATTGTTATCCATACTCAATAAATGGATAAAAAAAAATTAAATTGGGTGAAAAAAGGATACTTATTATTAAATGAAAAATGATGATTATTACTTATATATGTGTTGTGGATGCGACATATTATTTATGAGATTGAGCTACAAATATGGTAAGAGGGGTTTATGTCGTAGTTATCGCTCGACTTCGAATTTGAAGGTGATTAATTGATAATTTTTTAGATTAAATTTTTATCAGTCAATTAATTTCACTTCTAAATATTACTTTGTTGAATTATTTATTAGATAATTAATTTGTGATTCATAAATTAATTAATTTGTGAAATTAACTTACACTAATTCGCCAAATAGAATTAATTTGGAGTCCGTGGGACAAAATTAATTTGAAATCGGTAGAGTTGTTTCAATCAGGACCTATTCCTTTCGAATATGCATTTTCCCCCCAAAAGTTACCATGCCTTTTATGAAAATTATTGAGTCTAGTGACATGGCAGTTAGTTGGAATGTAACTAACTTATGTAGAGTTAGTTAGTTAGGTGCTTACGTAGCAGCAATGTGCAGGAAAAGAATATGTTAAACTTCAGTTAGAGTTAGCAGTATATATATAGATAGTCTTGTATCAATTTTAGTGCACTTCAATATGATTCTGTGGAATAAGATTCTCTCTATTTTCTCCCTTCCGTAAATTGCTTTCTTCTCCATTTCAGTTGTTCATCGTAATTCCACTCTAAATTCATGGCCTAGATTTAGATGGATGCATTTCACGTGGTATCAGAGCACTCGATCTAATGCATGTATTTCTGCATTCTTCTTCTTCTCCTCCTTTTTTCAATTGCTCGATTGGCAATGGGTTAAAACAGTACACCAACAGTTCGCACAGATCTTATTCCAGATCACAATTATCCTTTGTTTCTTCAATCCACTGATATTTTAGGAATCACGTTGATTGGTATCCAACTGATTGGTATAGAGAACTACGCCTTATGGAGTCGATACATGAAGATTGTCTTACTTGAAAAAACAAGTTAGGTTTCATCGATGGAACGTGTGCAAAATCTTCCTATTCTGGTAAATTACTGAATCGATGGGAAGATACAACGTTATGGTTTTGTGTTGGATCATGAATGTTGTTTCCAAATAATTATTGATAGGCATTGGATATGTGTATGATTCGCGTAGAGTGTGGTATAGCTTGAAGGAGAATTTTTCTATAGAAAATAGTGTGCGAACCTTTCATCCACATAAGGAAATTGCCTTCCTAACCCAAAGTAATAGTTATGTGTCTGTATATTTTTCTAAACTTAGTGATCTATGGGATGAGTTTGATGTCTCGATTCCCCCCCCCCCCCCTTCCATTTTGTAATTGTGAGACGACTAAGGTGTTTGTTGAGCACATACAAAAACACAGGATTTTCCAATTCCTTACTAAGGTTAAACGACTCATATTCTAGGGCAAAGAGTCAGATTTTCATGATGCAACCCTTGCCTAGTATTAATTAAATCTATTCTTTAGTAATGCAAGAAGAAAGTGAAAGAGCTCTTTCGACTGGAGTGCAGGAATTAGATTTGAATAAATTTGTTGTTATGATAACCAATAAGTCTAACTCGAGCAATAAATCAAAGAAATCAGACATGTAGTGTGACTATTGTAGAAGACCAGGTTACACTAGAGCTTATTATAGAAGATTGATTGTTCAAACGACAGATAGAGGGTTTCAACCTACTAGAGGATATCAGTCTGATAGAGGTGATAATCACTTTGACAAAGGAGGAATTTCACATCATAAAGAACCTTATAACCACATATCTAAATGAAAATCTTACCCCAAACCTGCTGTTAATTGTATTATTCAGGACACAGACTAGTCATCACAACACACAGGACAAGGACAATCTACAAGTCAATTGGCTCCTATTTTTTCACCAGAACAGCATTATCAAATCCAGCAAATGATCAAACGAGAACATAGTGCTGATGCCGGTGCAAACTTAGCTAACACCAACATTGTCGGTACTTCTCACTCTCCTGATACGTCCTCAGGTATTGTCTTCTCTTTGCTTTCTAGTCTAGAGAGTACACAGTGGGTTGTTGATACAATAGCATCTAATCATATAGTTTCAAGGCTTGATATGTTAAACCCTTCGACACAATTGTCTAAGTTTGGAAAGGAACACTTACTTAATGGTGAATATGCTGATATAACTCACAGTGAATCTGTTAGCATAATGGATAACCAACAAATTAGAAATGTTCTTTGCGTTTTTAATTTCCAATTTAATCTCCTATCTATATCCAGACTTACTAAGTATCTAAATTTCATTGTAGGTTTTTATCATGAATGTTGTATATTTCAAAACCTTTGCAATGGCAAGGTATTGAGCATATGTAGAGAATTTGGTGGCTTGTATCTGTTTGAAAATGTTGTTCAGCCACAACTATCTGCCAAAGTTTCTCATCCTGCATCTTTGTATATGTCTATTGTCCAAGATTCTATTCCAATCAGCATATGGCACAGAAGACTAGGTCACATTCCTCTTGCAGTAATGAAGAAAATGGGCAGTCTTCCTCATAGAAAAATAGATAGTACTTCTAGTTTTTGTCCTGTTTGTCCACTTGCTAGACAATCCAAGCTTCCTTTCCAGTTAGCCATAGTCACTCAATTGATGTATTTGATTTGTTACATGTTGATGTATAAAGGCCTTATAGATTACCTTCTAGTGATGGTAAAAGATATTTCCTCACTCTTGTAGATGATTTTTCAAGGTTGACTTGGTTGTTTTTAGTGAATTCAACGGATGAGACTGTGTTTATTGAAGGCTTTTTTTCCATGATTCATACTCAATACCATTCCACAATCAATGTGCTTAAGTCTGACAATGACTTAGAGTTCATGAATGCCACACTCACTGATTTTCTCACTGCTCAAGGCACCATCAGATTACTTGTGTGTGCACACCCCAACGGAATGGAGGTGGCTGAAAGGAGACATTAATATATTTTAGAGATAACCAGGGCATTAAGATTCAAGGAATATATTCCTCTTCCTTTTGGGGGTAATTGTGTCTTTAATGATATCCATATTATTAATAGGATACCTTCATCAGTTATTGATGGGAAGTCTCATTTTGAAGTATTTTTCATAAACCTACATTTCTACATAACCTTAGAGTGTTTGGTTGTTTAGCTTATGCAGTTAATGTACATATAAGGGACAACTTTGCAGTCAGAGCTTTGCCTACTGTTTTCTTGGTTTATTCACCCACCAAGAAGGGCTACAAATTACTTGACTTACATTCCAAACTGATCTCATACATGAGGGATGTAATCTCATGAGTCTATATTTCCTTTCAAGCAAATTAAAAATAACCCTGATCCAATATTTCCAGTCATGACTTTTACGGAAGATTTCAAGATGATCTTATACCTCATAATACTTCATCCTGCATCCCTTCTAATGTAGTATAACCATCTACTTCATCTCCAGAGCCTCCTATCCTTGATACACCATCTCATATGCCTTTAAGCAATCTCAAAGGATTAAGTCTTCTCATATATGGTTGACTGATTATGTGGCAAATTCTTGTGCTTATCCTATGTCCAAATTCTTATGTTATGATTCCCGTACACCTAATTATGATAGTTGTCTTGTAACTCACAACATTGAAGTAGAGCCTAGACATTATAATGAAACTATTTGGGATGCTAGATGGGTTCTTTCTATGCAACAAGAACTTTAAGTTCTAGACGACAATGGCACCTGAGATGTTGTTGATATACCTCCTGGAAAGGTGGTCATTGGTTGCAAATGGTATTCAAGATCAAATATAAGGCTGATGGTTCTATTGAAAGGTTTAAAGCACTGTTGGTTGTCAAATGATTTAGTCAAAATAAAGGCCTAGACTATAGTGAGACATTGTCTCATGTTGCCAAAATGGTGATTATGAGGTTTATTTAGTTGTAGCTGCTTCCAAACATTGACATTTCTACCAGATGGATATATATAATGCTTTTTTACACGGTAACTTATTTGAAGAGGTTTACCTACATTTACCGTACTGGTTTTGCTTCCAAACATACTCAATCTTCTCAGAA